GTATATACAAGTTTAGCAATCTTTTTAATCTGTTTGCTATAATAGAAGTGAATATTTTATAATCAGTATTTAGAAGTGAAATCGGCCTGTAATTGTTTATATATCTGGTCTTTCAATACTGGTATTGTGTTTAGTTCCTCAGGGTCTGAATCAGTGGTGGTATTCGACCGGTTCTGCCTGGTTCTGGAGAGCCGGTAGGAGCAATGAGCAGCAGAGACTGAACTGGTTCTCTCCGCTGCTCTGCTGGCTCTGCTGTTGGGCTCACCCGCCCGCCCGGGCTCCCCTACTCACCTTTATGCGCTGAATTTGAAGCGCAGCTGCTTTGTGTGGCACAGAATAGTGCCGCACGGCAGCTGCTGAAGCAACTGGGATTGTGCAGGCTTGCAGGAGGCGAGTTAAAACGCCTCTGCGCAAAGTGCGTGTTTGGCACGCGCGTGCACGCAAAGTGTGTGCACGCGTGCAAAGCGCGCCCACCAAGCCATGCCCACCGAACCAGTGGCAACAATATTTGAATCCCACCACTGGTCTGAACTGTTAGGTTCATTACCTTGATCCTCTTTTGAGAAAGACCTTGTGTCGTGATGATGCTCTGGTTGCTTTCAGACATTTTAATTGCTTAGAAAAGACAAAGAGAATATGGAGAATATGGAGAATATGACTAGACAAGGATAAAGATCTCATTGTGAACGGATAGTGACATCCAAAGTTTAGTCTTCCACAGTGTTTGAGTGGAGAGAAAAAGACATTAAATGAAAAGTATTAAAGAGATTCTTGATTTAAGCATTCATTTGTTTTAATGTTGCAATACGATTGTGTTTTAATACTTAGTTTCTGTGACTTGGGCTTGACTCCTGGTTCCTGTATGGATTGTTGTTCACTATTTTCTTATCTTTAGCCCGTATTTTTAAGTACTTGATTTTATTTCTTCCATCTCCAATAGATCATTTGCAAAAATCTTTTAGTGCAAATGATCACTAGAATAACAATTTTTGTATGCTGTCTAATGGTTGTGTAGATGTATATAGCATATGTATGGCAGCCCAGTCAACACATAGAAGTGCCTGTGCATGCTTACAGAGTGGTATCCTTAAACAGGCATAAATACAATATTTTATAAAGTTCAAGATATTTCAAAATCATTTTATTCTGTTGCTTTTACATTTCCTGGAATGTTTTTTGCTGGAAGCAGCAATGTAATATTTCAAATAGGTTTTTGAAATCATTCTTTCAAATTGTTCAAGGAGCAGAATATGCATGTTGGTGCTAAAATTGTTTTGAAGGCCATCTGAAGCATTAACAGCTTCTATTTTGTACTGTTTGCAAGCAAAAGTTGTTGGTCTTTTTTTTTTAAATAAGCATTTAAAAGTTTTGACTTCAGCGGTTTTGGCATTAACTTTTAATGAATAGCATTTGAACTTTGAATGGTCAGCAATCACAGCAAGATGATATTGTATTTCAGAAATTTTGTACAGTATGGTACCCATTTTATGGTATACCACCCAAACCTTACATAATAAGAACAATTGTAGGATTTTAGTGACATGCTGAGAAAAAGTAACTGAAGATGTTTCTTTGTATATCCTAACTATTTGTAGTTGTATTGCTTTATTTTATTTAGATTTTATAAAAAATGGTATAACAATAAAAGTTAAAGAATTGAATAATCTGTTTAATTTTTTTAATGTAGTTACAGTAGTGACTGTAACAAAAAAATCTAATAAGAATATACAAAGGTTGAGTGTAATAATCATATATCTATAAATAGAAGTGCCATAAATATGATTCCTGGGAATATTGTTTGGCGTTGGTTGTTACTAGATGCTTTTTTTGGGGTTACTCCAAGCCACTGTTCTTTGGCTTAAAGATAAAATAATTCTGGCAAAGGACTAAAGAAGTTCTACTTTTTCCCTCATTAAGACTAGTGCTAATGGCATGCAGAACATTTCCCCTAAGGATACTCATATGAGCTCAAATGCTGAGTATAGTACTAATAATTGAACAATAACAAAAATGATGACTGTTTTCTTCACATTTCTTAAAGTACAGATTGTCCCAAGGGATAATTAAACAAGCAAACAAAGATACACTGAAATAACTAGTTAAAAAACAAAGGCAGACCAACTTTTGCACATTGTTATTGTTATCTTTTTGTGGTTACTTTTGAAGTATGTTTGCAATAAAAAAATATCTCTTTCCTCCTATGTAAAGGATACATATCCTTTGGAATATGTGAACAATTTGGCTTGAGAACTGAAATAGTGGTAGGCAAATGCAAGATTTATTTTGCAAGTAGTGGCTTTCGTTATTCTAATAATGTTACACCGCTTGAAAAGTTAATTTTATTTAATAAGGGGAATTCCCATATACTTCAATGTAGTGTCTTACATTAAAATAAGACTCTTCCTTAATATAAATATCCTCTATCATGAAACATGTTAATATAGTATGAACATTACTACTTAAAGTTGAATTTAGTTTTTGAATATTCTATGCTTGTTTAGTTGGCAGTAAATCCTACCAAGTTCAATAGAAACTGTTTTGTAGTAAGTATGCATATGATTTTACCTCTATAACCTTATATACATCTTCCATAATCCATAAAGCACTATTATGTATCACAGAGTATAAGAAGAACATACTCTAAAGATACAAGAACAGCAGAGGGAAATTGCCAATATAATTGAGCAGGAAATTGCCTTGTATGTTTGAATTATAAGAACATAAATATGGGATTTTATTAAGGTTTCATGAAAAGATGTCACACAGGTGCTTTAGTAAGCAACTCACGATCAGAAAAGGAGAAAGACCAGAAGACCTTTGAAATGTGTTGTGGAGCTGAAGAAAGAGATTTAGGCAAGGATATATTATGATAGAAGAGAAAAACATGAGTGACTTCTGAAAGTAAGCATTGTTATATCATGAAGTAGTTTATGGAAGGGTATACTATTTGTAAGGGAGAATGATAAATAGCCCAGACTGGATTAAGATTAGAGAATAAATTATAGAAATAGAAAAGAAATTACAATCTTTTAAAGATTTTGTGGTGGCAATGACAAACATGGCAGGTGAATCTGGGTCTTTTTAACAAAACAAAACAATTCAAGATACAAGTTGCTTACATTAAGAAATATTCGTCTGGTCACGTGACCCAGAGCAGAGCCTCTAAAAAAGGGCTGGGGGGGGGGGGGAAATCCAGAAGTCTGCTTTCCTGCCCTGTTCTTTTTCAATTCAGCATAATATTGGAAATGGTGTAATCTAGATCAAGGCTGCCTCTGATTCCATCCTTAGGAGAACTCCCTGAAAATAGAATCAATAGAATAGAATCAAACCTTTTTTTTGTGGGGGTGGGGAAGCTGGCAAAAGAAAGATTGAGTATAAAAAGAACCTGAATCTGGGCAGAGTTTACAGAGCAAAACATTCCAGAAAATAATGGTGGAGCCCTACAAGAGACACAGTTGGGCAGCAGATTGGATTATTGCCAGCTGCTCCATTCTAAAATCTCCTTCCTTTAGTCATGTGACCAGAAGACCCTGCTCTGTTTTCCAGTACACACATACCAAACACAAAGATGTAAGCAGAACAAAATATAAATGCTTCCTACCATGACTTCTCTAGCGGCATTGGAAAGAATTCTAGAATCATACTCTGCATGCTTTCCCTATTTGTTTATATGTTAATCTAATATTTTAAAGGGGCAGGGGGAGTTGGATAGTATAAAATGAACACCTATTGATTCAGTGTATCTTAAAGGTATCTCCATTCTAAATCCTCATTGCTAAGGAACTGTACAAAAGCTGCCTTATAAACGACTCACTTCCCAGCAGTGAGATTCCTAAGTAATTTTTTTTTCTTGGAAACAACCCAAAACTAAAAGCAGGAAGATGATGTTGGATGAAATAATAATGTGGGATAGGATTTCCCCCCCCACCTTGGGGATTATTTGTGAAAGTAACGGATGTCCTTCCATTAAAACTACAATGTACTTAAAACATCCTTTTACCTGCTTAGCAAAACCACCTTTTCTCAAGGTCTTGGGTCATTTTAAATGTTATTCCAAGCTGCTTTTTGTGGAGAACTTCTGAAAGGCACATATTTAATGTCAAACATTTATTGTAAGAAAAAAGATGCTGTTAAAATCTCAATGTAATCTAGGGACTAATGTGCATAGAATGTGGACCATTATTTTTCTTTTAATTATGGGAGCAACTTGTAATGTTCATGCAACATCACTATCCACGAGGTGCATTGGTTTCCAATAAGTGTACGTAATGCAAGGCGCTGATTTGCTCTCAAAATATTGGCTTTCCACAGAAGGTATGGGGTGTCATTTAAACACTGCTGTCTTATGGGACCTAGGAAGCACGCCTTTTCAGTGGCTGCTCTTGTTCTCTGAAACAATCCCCCTCCTCCCACATGATATATAACTGGCCCCAACCTTCTGGCCCTTAAAAAGTGTTTCCCTCAAGAATTGGGGTCCAATTGAATAGAGCCCCATGTCCTTCTATTTATTTTTATTGTATACTGACAGAGTCACATTGTTTGATTTTGGTGGATACATAAATGTTTGAAACAAACACATCCTGTTTTTCTATTTTTAATTCAATGTAGTCATGACATATAGCATTACTTATTATCCAATCAATCTCTCACATTTTAAATTGTGTTTTATGTATGGATTATATCTTTAGAAAAATGTAAGGGCAACTATGAGTGAGCATCTTATCTATAGAATATAAAGATTCAGATAATTAAATGTGTATTTATAAAACCAAACTGAATAAGCTGAATTTTGTTATATTGTTTTTTAAGTTACTAAGCTAAGAATTGAAGACCAGCATTTTTTTCCAAGAACTGAAAATACATGCAGTGATTACATGCAGTGATTAAAAGCTGACATCCCTAAAATATCACTTAAACTCTTTTATTGTGAATCCCTACAGGATAATATATATATTATATATAATATTATAATATATTTTACATATTTCCATGTCAACCAGGTCTTCAAGAGTATGTGGAAGCTGTTTCATTTCAGTATTTTATCAAAACCCGGTCATTAATTAGCTTAGAGGTCATCAATAAACAACTGATATTTACAGAAGATAATAAAGAAGAAGAAAAGAAGGTACTATAAATAATCTTGTCTATACAATTAATCATTTCTAAATGGATATTATAAAGAATTGATATAGAAGGTGGGCAATACGCCAATGATGTGATCATGAAAAGTCTCCTTGGGTTCCCACTTCCTGCAAGTCGTCTTTTCTTCTTTTGTCTCCCCTTTTCAGAGGGGGTTTGAAAATCCTCACTTTTTTCTTTTGGGGTCAGGGAAAAATGGAAGTTCGTATTTCTGTTATCTTTTTATTTTGTCACTTACTCCTAGCACAGCCTTAGGCTGTTTTCCTTGAAAATACAACTGAGACATAAAAAAAATAAATAGCAAAATTGGGAATATATTAGGAGTATGCAGCTGATATTGTGGTCCCGTGACATAATGAAGAAAAGGTTTCTTTAGGGTAATGTCTGTAGTATTGGAAGCCTGACCTGCAAGAATTTCTTTTTCCAAATTTAATTCTTTTTTTTTTTTTTCATTTTGAAAGTTGGAATTATTTTTCCATTTACAAAATATATATGGATACTATATCTGGACTCTAAAATTACAGGAAGCTCTAATTCTTGTCTGCCATCCCATTGTACTCTGGCTTCCCTCATCAGCCCTTATATGGACTCTCTAGCTTCCTGTAGCTCCAGGCATTCCACTATGCAGCAGCCATGGAGTGTTAGGCTAGCCAACAGCTGCTTGCCCTTTGAGTACCATCCTTCCATTAGTTGTAGAGCTTGGCAGAAGGATTCTTAGCTTCTCATCTCTGTTCTAAAGGATTTTTTGCCTTTCAAATCTGGAATTTCTAGTCAATCAGATCTTGCTGCTTAAAAACTGCATATATCTATTCCAGTGTTTCCCAACCTTGGCCTTTAAGCCGTGTGGACTTTCCAGAATTTCCAGAATTTCCTAGCCAGCCAGCAAATTTCCACTCTTCTTTAGCCTCTTCCTCTATTGGCTCATGTAAACTCCTCCCTGAAATTGACAAATTGTTGAACTTTCATGTACCTAAGTGTCTGCCAAAGTGATCTGTTTCTTGAGATATGGCAATCTCTCCTTCAGTTGATCCTTGGATAAAGAATGCATCTTGAGGATCTTGATAAATTTTATGGGTCTTTGTTGACTATGGAATTATTTTCTTAGTTCAGTTCATTAAACTGTGAAAGCAAACAGCAATATATATTAATTTATTACACAGTGATTATGATAAATATATAGTAGTGGCAAAATAATTGTTTTCAAAATAGAAATAGTGCAAAAGTAGAAATAGAAGGTACACAAACACAGACACACATAATCATGTGCAGCTTCTCTTTGATTTAGAGACTGGCATTTTGCCAGCTGAAGAGTTGATGAATATGAAGTTTCCATAAAATTATTGCAATCATTCTTTCCTAGCTGAACTCCTATTTCTTACTGTTTGGCTAGCCATAATTTAAGACTTACCTGGTGTGGAGATGATTTTTCACACCATGTAATTGTTGATGGCCCAGGAAATTTACTATGTAAAAAAAAAGCCTTGCCACCCAAAATAGAGTTCACTTGGGACCAATGTATGCAATGTATGCAAGAAGGAAAGCCATCCATGAAAAAGTTCCAAAGCAAGGCCACTTCTTTTTAATATTGTTTTTGTTAATTTCCTGAATTATGTTTTGCAAATTGAACTTTCTCTCTGTAATAAGTTGTTTTGTATTCTGTTGTATTACTAGCCATCTTTGGATTCTCCTAATAAGGAAAACAACACCTGGAACATAAAAGTGACACCTGTGGATTATCTTCTGGGAGTGGCTGATCTAACTGGAGAATTGATGCGGATGTGTATTAATAGTGTTGGCAATGGTGATATAGATACTCCATTTGAGCTGAGTCAGTTCCTGTGTCAGATTTATGATGGCTTTTCTTACATTGGTAACACTGGACCGTATGAAGTTTCTAAAAAGCTCTATACTTTGAAACAGAGCTTAGCTAAAGTGGAGAATGCCTGTTATACACTGAAAGTCAGGGGTTCTGAGATACCAAAGCATATGCTAGCTGATGTATTCTCCAGTAAAACAGAAATAATTGACCAAGAGGATGGGCTTTCTTAAGCATACTGGGAACCTCACAACACACAAGATCAAGAACTACAGGATCAGAGCAAAGCTAAGTCCTGGATTTGCTTATCAGAAATCTTAGCCATAATTCATGGTTTATGAATAGCTGAAGTAGAATATGTTGTATTCTAAAACTGTTATTGTATAATGATTTAACATGTCCCCCCCAGCTTATTGCCCAGTGAAAATGTTGATTTTATACAGGGACCACTTCTTATATTCTCTACTTCAGTATTGTGGGCATACTGCAGGTTACTTTAAACCAGGTGCCAGTGAAGGACCATTATCCATAATATACATGTAATATGATAACAATTTGGTTCATTGTTGCTCTTATTTAAGTTGTTAAAATCTTTGACGGTTCAGAATGTTCTGGTGTTAAAATTTACATGTTGGTTTTTAAACAACTGAAGAGAAATAATTGAATAGGAAAGAACCTAGAAAAAGCTAACAGGTTTAGCTTAGATTATTCTTTGGATACTTTCATAATCTATCTTTTTATGTATATTCGTGTTGACTTTTTATAGGTAAGTTAATACTAATATCTTGCAAATTAAGCCAAGCAAAAGCAGATAACTTGTAAATTTTTTAGCATAAATAGAATCAGTGGGTATACCCAGTTAAAGTATACTCAGTGGAAGAATTTGGAAGATAATGCTCGAGAAAACGAACAAGAAAAATACTTGAAATATGGTTTAAAACTGAAGTTGACAGAATTTGTAAATTATGTATCTGTCCTATGTATGTTCTTTAAAGGATTATGATATTGTTTTGTGTATTTAGTTAATCTCTTGCTTCAGATTCTTGATTAGTGACTCCAGCTTAGACTTTAACTTCCTTTCTGTGAACAGAATAGAATTAAATTTATAGAACAGGCTTTCCTGCTTCCCTTTTCTCTGTGTAGCCCTGTATCTCTTGTAAATCTGTTCCTGAGAACAGGGAACTCTTGAGCATGGTGTGGAATAAATTATAAAGGACCTGGTTGGTAGAAATTCCTTGTACGAATGTAAGAATTCAGGATCCAAGTCATTGTGTTCTGGGGGAAATGTAAACAAAAGTAGGTGAGGATCCAGGCTCTCCACTATACACAAACACATTAAATTTCCTACCACAGTTCTTCCATGTTTTTATATTGCCGATATTTAGCATGGCCTATTTTCAGATACATGATATAGTACAGCAGTATTTTGTCACCTTTTTAAGAATCACCAGATTTCTCATGTGTTAAAATTTAGAAAGCAGTCTTTTCTTCCCATTGTAAGGCTTAATGATGTTTCTACATTTTTATACAATAAACAAAGGCATCTTGTAAAAGTATTACTTGTTTGGCATTTGTTTTTTCTGACATTTTTTTTCTTATCATGCTTTAATGAAAGGAAACCATTTCTTCCCTGACACTTTTCAGTTTGCCACATAGTAAATGTGTATGTAAAGTATTATTTTTTGCACAAGAATTAAAATTTCTAATTGTAATATTGCTCTAAATGTTCATAATTTTGGGTCAGCTTGCATTCGAGATAAAAGAGGTATTTGAAGTTCATTGCTTGTTGAGTTTGCAATACATTATTTGGAGAGATCAAAAGAAAAACTTTTGTTTGATCTTTAATGGGTCAGAGGCATCCATGGATCCTCCTTTAGCACTTACAAGGTTGCCTGATGAAGTTTTACCCCATCCCCACAGGGATGGTGGCAGTGGCCCATTGCAAACAAAATGTCAAAACTTAGCATCTTTACAGAAATGCCTCTGTATGGCCTCTCATAGATCCCATAAGCAATATTAGATATGAAAGTGATGGGCAGCTGCAATCGGGTGCTTTGTTTTGAAATCTGTCTTTTATCAGAAAAAAAACCAATAGTGTGCTGTGGAGAAAAATGCTGTTTTGGGATCTAAAGGGTGTAATGATCAATTGCTTTGTTAATTTGTTTTCTGGAAAATGTGTTTTGTATCTTGATACATCTACTGTACTCAAACATCCAAATTGCTCGCTGACTCAAAAAGTTGTTCTCAACTATTAGGTTATCTGAAATACATTTATTTAGGCAGTAGTTAGTTGTCTAGGCATAATTAACCATTGCTTTTCTGAATATGATGTTCTCTAGATGTGTTGCATTAAAAACTGATCAGTCACAGCTAACATGGCTAAAACATGCTGGACAGGTACTGCAATCTACTGCGTAGGAGCCACCAGATTGGGATTGGTAATCTAAAACCTATGTAGAAATTGGGAAATTCAAATTGTTCTCTGAAGTGATGAGCAAACATTCTTTATGGAACGATGTGGTCTTTGGAAAAAGAAAGATAATATATAGAATTACCTGTCTATGGAGATTCTCAGTCATCCAGGTCATGGTTGACCCTTTTGCCAAAACTGGATCTTGTTTCCTTGAAGATTTTTTGCTTCTCATCCAAGCAGCTTCTTCAGTTCTGACTTCTGAAGCTTCTTGGATGAAAAGTGAAATGTCTTTCAGGAAAAACAAAGTTCAGATGCCTTTTGAAGGATGTAGGATTATCTGAAAAAAATTGTTCCATATATATTGCTTATGTTTGATTATTGCCTGCATAGTTGTAAAATATTCTTAATGCTGTCCATTCAATCTATTCAGGAGTTTCCATAATACAAGTTGATCACTATTACTAAGAGCTATGGAAAAGTATCAAGCTTTCCTCAAAATACACCTGTGACATATGCCTGCATCTGAGGTCAAAATAATCTTTGAAAGAAAGTGGGTCTTTAAAAATAATTTTTGAAGTTCTTAATAAACATATAAAAGCTAAGTCAAACTAAATAAGAAGAAAATAGAACAATAAAAATGCAGAAGATTCAGGGAAAAATAGCAGAAAAATATATAACAAAAGTAATAATAAGGGGCTTCGGACTTTCACACCAACCTTTTCACCCCTTTTTGAAGTTACAAATAATAAAAAAACTCCTTATAGCTTTTTATCAGTACACAACCCCAAAATCAGCTTTTTGGTCCTAATTCAGCAAAAAGTTCCTTAGGAGTTCCTATGAATGTGAAACAAATGTTTTATCCCAAATAGTCAAATAGTCTGACTTTATTCCTCTTTGCTGTGCACAATCTTGACATTTAAGCCATTCCAATGGCATCCCAAGATCTCATCTTTTATCACTCTTTGGTATTTAAAAGAAGACTTCGGTGCTTTTACCGACCTACTTTGTGAATCCTATTAAGAGGCATATAAGATTTGCTTTTATTCTTTTTTCCAAATTTACCTTTTTTATTTATTGAATTATAAAATACAAAGGAAAAAAAACAGAAGTAAGAGAAGAAGGGAAAGGGTATAGTGTAACAGGAGGAAAAGAAAAGAAAAAGGCAACTTCCAACTCTTTGGCACAGTCAAAGGTAACAATATTACAACCACAACTTTTTGCTTTTACACAACAGTATGTACAAGCTATTTCTATAACAATAAGCCTGTCTAGTTTACAAAAACAGAATCAAGTTTTAACTTTTACTGTCTAGTTCTTTAGATACTCTAGTGTCCATTTGTAACCATCAAGCCCCAGTTCCTGAAGTTCTGCTTCAGTTGTTTCCTATGAGTGTATTATTTATTTTTCTTTTTAAGAAGAGATTGGACAGCCACTTGTCTGAAATGGCATAAGATCTTCTGCAAGGGATGGATTAGAAGATCTCCAAAGTCCATTCCAAATGTTGTTATTCTGTTAATTTCCATATTTTTCAGGACTATAGGTCGCACCTTGGTTTAGAGGAGGAAAACAAGAAAAAAATAGTTTTTTGCCTCAGCGTGTCCCATTTTTGCCTTCCCTGGCGTCCAGAAGCACTCTGCAGGAGGCCTCCGGAGGCCTCTGCGGGTCCTGTTTTCAGCCTTCCTGATGTTGGAGAGGGCAAAACCTTGACCCACAGAGGCTTTGGGAGGGCAAAAACAAGCCTGTTTTTGGCCTGCAGAGTGTTTCTGGACGCTGGGGAGGGCAAAAACGGGATGCACAGAGGCTTTGGGTGGCCAAAAATGGGTCTGTAATCGCTGTGTAAGACTCACAGACATTCCCACCCACTTTTTTTTTGGGGGGGGGAGTTCATCTTATAGTCCGAAAAAATTCTATATATACTTATTTTTCAAACCTTACAGCAAAATAATATTTCAAATCTCTATGGTCTCCCGATCTGTTTAAAGCTTTTTTTAAATCCAAATTCTCTTTTGCTTTTTACCAATTGTATGTTATTTTAATTTCTTAAATCTTATTTAAAGCTTTCTAAACCTAAATAAGGTAAAACTCATGCTTTCCAGTTTAAAAGTCTCTCAAGTGGTTCAATTCAGTATTTTTGAATGTGATTAGAAAGTGAGTTTGGGTGACTTCGTGTCCTTATTACAGACTCGGTCATTGCTGAGAACAAAGATGTTACCTCCCTCAGATCCTGATGCTCAAATCCATGGGAGACAGGCTGTTTTTCAGTCTTGCGAGAAGCTGCCATTAAGAACGGTTATAGGTGACCTCCCAATCTCTTCTCTGGAGAGATACAAAAGACTGGTCTATTTGCCAGTCTTTCATTGTCCATAGCAGTTTCTCCATACATTAGCATAATGACGACTCTGCCATGACTCGCACCGGGAGGTGAAAGTGTTTTGGTAAACACATTTCTAAAATGTTTTCCAAGGGAAGTCATGAAATTCTGAGCCCTATCCAGTTCAGCCATCAGGGCAATACCAGAAGGCTGACACCTGTTCCAAGGTCAAATCCAGAAATTCAGGCAATTAGATGGCTGGTACACAAAAAAGCTCTTCATCTTATTTCTGTTGTCCAACTTAACATAAAAGCTCTCACATCTCTCACCTCAAAACAGAATCAGGGAAGATCAACAGCCCTTTTCTTCCCTAACATTGGCATCTTGGCTGTTTTAGGATCTGACATGTTGGAAAGTAAATTTCTGACAGGATAAGATCCTTACCCTCATGCAACTAGATTATGGGAAGAGTAGATCTGGTCAATTACTTGCTACCTATTCATAGAGGAACATGGATTTTGCTTTCATCAGCTTTTGATCAAGCCCAACAGCAATCTTACAATCAGGATCTTTGGAAGAGCACATCCAGAAAAGACTAAAAACAGAGGTTTTTAGTAAATGTATGTATATATTTTAAATTTTATTTCATGTATCAAATTCAGAGACCACCCATCTTATTTATAGAGTGACCATTTGCTAGATTTTATTTCACACCTAGATGGCCAATCAGTATGGAATTTGCGTGTTTAGAATGGTTGGCAGCAATTCATGGTCTTAATGGAGCCCATAATACTTTTTAAAAAGATGATTTGCAAAGGAAAAATGGCACAAGTGCTTTCTAGCTACATTAAACAAAAATAACGAAAGAGAAGTAAGATCCAGTCCTGATCACCACAGTCTAATTTATTTGGCCCTCCCTAAAAAATACATGTTATAGAAACTTAAAATGCCTTTCAAATTTACATGACTCTGAATATTTGGAAAAATGATATTGAAGTCACAAAACAATAAGTGGCAAAATGCCTATTTCTTAGCCTGCTTAAGCCTGGGCATGATCATATTGGGTTGGTATTCGGCCAAAATCCAAGCATTGTTTAAACAGATGTTTCTTTGCACCATAAAATTCTGTATTATTGGGAACTGTTTCCTTTTAAGGAAACCAGCTGCTTTGAGCTACAAGAACACTTTTATTTTAGAAGTAGTGAGTTGAATGAAGCACATAATAAATCCTTCCCATGCCTATACTGCCTACTTCTTTCTTTAGAATCAGTGTAAGTATAATCAGGTAAAACCCAAGCAACATGTCTCTTGCACGGCAACTGCTGAAATTTAGGGATTCTTTCTGAAAGTTATATAGGTTACCTGGAACTTCATGTCAATAAACAGAAGATGAAAAACAAAATCTGAGAAATGAGTGCTCCCAAATTATTCCTAGAAAATGTTTCCAGACCCACTCCAGTCACTTTTTGACTATTTCTACGTTTTACTAGTGAAACCTAAGAGATAGCTCCAAACATGGATAAATCATAACTTGCTTTTTGAAGGCTATCTCTTGTATGGTTTATGGCAACTTCCAGGGACCAATAATCTCTGATTTTTTTTAAAATGTCCCATTCTTGCTTTTAAAATTCTGCAGCTATTTTGCACACAGAAATCGGTCTCATGCTTTAAAGGGTTAGGGTTCCTAAAGCAGTCCAATAGTGACATCTTCTGGACAATATTGCTTATCACTTCAAACTATTCTTGTTTCAGCCTGCCTGAGATTTTATTTTTTGTTTTTGCATAATTCCAGTAAATGTGCCAATAATCAATTAAACAGTCAATTATTGTTCAACATCCCCAAACAAATTACAGGTGGTTGTTGTTTAATGACTGCCTCATTTACCAACAGTTTGCAGTTACAATGCTGCAATGAAGTGGTCACTTTGCGACCAATCCTCGCATTTATGACCCTTATAGATCTGTAAAGCAAACAGAAGTAAGATCAAAAGCACAGTCGTGGTTCCATTTATTGACCATCTTGCTTAATGACTGAACTGCTAATCACAATTATAGTTGCTAAATGGGGACAATGCCATTACCTTATTTATGGTAAATAATTTAATGCTGAAGACAAATTGCCAAGGCGAGTTCCTTCAAGATACCACTCCACTCTCTTTTATGCAATGCAACTATAAAGTTCTGCCTACAGATCTACAAAAATGTATTTATTTATTCATCACATTTCCATACCATAGAAATTATCCATAAGCTATTAAAGCTACAAATTCCAGTCAAATATGCCCAAATAGATTGCATATTTCAAAGCTTTCTGATACACCAGTATTTTGATGTGTGAGATATATGAGTATTTTGATGTAGTATATCCAGGGAGGAAAAAGGGACTATTTCTGGAAGCACCAGAAGTTCAAAGAGATTTACAATCTTGAACAGGCTTGGTTGCTTCAGCTGCTACAACTTATTTTGGCCCCCACTATTAATGTGCTATCTGTACCCCTAGAGCAGACTTATTGGGGGGGAGGGGGTTTGGTACAATATCTTTGACCAGGTCTAAGCCCCTTCTGATCTAAGATTGATGCACTGAAGCATCATATACAATATGGCTAATACTTTATCAGCATGCTAAATGCTACATAACGGGGGGAGAAGGGGAGAGAAAAAAAATCTGCAATTAGAGAGTACAGCCTATGATTTTGTACTAAGCCACAATGGAATCTGAAGCCTGTGTGACCCCAGACAATGACAATGTGCTTAACAAATCATGGCTTTGTATAATGTGTGAGCTTAGCTCGCATGGCAGCTTGAAATTCAACCCCCTCTTTTTCATTCTTCATTTTGCTTTCCTCCTGCAGGCAATCTATTGTTAGCAATTAATAATTGCAAATGAACACTATTGATATATAAAGCGAGTGAGATCGTTACAGCAATCTTACCCAAAGTCTTCTATGGTACCATTACATCATTAGAAAACTATGTCCTGATAAGAAACCAGTTATAGGCCACCATAGAATAAAATACATCCAGCCTCTGCTGTGGTCTGCAGAATTGAGGGACTGGCTGGTTTCTAGCTAGCATTTGCAATGGACATCTAGAGATCTATTCCTCAGCAGGCTGTTGATCAACTTGAGCATCTGATCAGTGGAGAACAGACTGGCAGTTTCCGGCTGCTAATGGCAACGGGAAGTCAGCAAGTTTCAGCCGTATTTTGAGGAGGATGAGAAAGAGCCTTGCCCGTCTCAGCAATTCCACTCTAAATCCAGGGCTTCCTGCAACAGGAAACCAGCCATCTGGAAGTAGAATCACCAGAGGAGTGATTGACTATATAGGTTTGAGTTACTAAAACCGGTATTACTTGCCTAAGCTTTTTAATTGGTGGAACTTCTGTAATATGTGATCCTAAGGAACCTTTCTTCTGTTCAGCTCCATTGATTCCTCTCTCCTTCTAATTTCTTCCCCTTTTGATGCTTTCTGCATACCAACTTTGATTCAAAATATCCTCTAATTCAGGGGGTCTCCAAGCTTTTGGACCTCAGGAACCACCAAACTCATAATTTTAAATCCCACAGACCAGAGACCCTGGGAAAATCCCCAAAAAGGTCTGCAGGAAAATTCCCTACCCCATTTTCCTACTGATCGATCATACTTTATTTGGGATCGGAGAATACCAGCTCCATTCTCAGGGGGAGAAAGAGAGACTTTTGGCTTCATGCAAGGAAAGCAGCAGAAGTCTTTCTTTCTCTCCCCCAAACTTCGCCAGAAATGAGTCTTTGTGAGACTTGTTGCGTCAGCGCAGCCTCTTGGAGCAGGATGCCTTGCAGGGTCCCAAAGACTCAAGTTCCCCCCTCCCCTCACTATCTTGTGTTGTTTGCAATGCAAGCGATGCAAGCCTTGTGTTCCTGTGGGCCATGTGGGTGGCACAGCCTTGTGTTCCCATGCAGCCTGGATTAATTGCTTTGGGGGGTGCTTTGGGGGTGACATTTCTCTGTAAACCACCAAAATTTTCTTGTGGACCACCAGTGGTCCCCGACCCACTGGTTGGCGACCACTGCTCTTATTCATGGGTGTCAAACTCAAGGCCCACAGGTTGTTTAGATCTGGCCCGCAGGGCTTCCCTGGAAATAGCAAAGGACCGACCCACAGTGCCTCTGCCAGCAAAAACGGAGCTCCGTTTTCACTGGCAGAGGGTTAGAGGAGGCCGTTGCAACTGAAAATGGAGCTTGGGAACTCATTTTTGCTGATAAAGTGCTCGGGCCACCACAGGCATCCCTGACACAAGTGAAGCCGAGCTTCCCACGCTCACCCCAGCCCCCTGAGGTCAAACACAACCCTGATGAGTCTGTCAATGGAATCAAGTTTGACATCCCTGCTCCAATTCAAGGGCTGCAGTCAAGAAACAGACACCAGAGAACATGTATCCTGATAATGGAACTGAACTGAGAAGAAGCTCCCACCAAGAGGGCTTTAGGATCCAAGGCACTGTCTCACATTGGCTTGAGACGATGTTTCTGCATGCCATGCTAACTACAAGTGTGCGTGTCAGCAACCTATTGTCACTTCCTTTATGGCTGTGCATCATGGGAGCACCAAGTAGCTGCCCTTTTGGCTGTTGATTTCCAACTGCAAGCTGGAAATCAACCATCAATCAAGATTTCAATATAGATTACAGATTTTTAGAGTAGCGTTAGTTTTAATCCTTTTATCTTCAATATTTTTTTGTCCCCGCAGCTGCCTCAACAAGTCCTTATATTTGCAATATGGATACAATAATAATTCTAAATGCAAGACTCTAGACCTGAAAAGTCCCCAGAAATGAAAACTTAATAGAAATAGAGGATGTGTAACTATGTTCATGAAACGGCAGTCTTACAGAACTAGTGACAGAATGTTTGTGGAGCGTTTTAGAATATTTTGTATCACTAAAATAAAGGCTGAACACTTCCTATAGAACAGTGGTAGTCAACCTGGTCCCCACCACCCACTAGTAGGCGTTCCCGCTTTCATGGTGGGCGGTAGGGGTTTTGTCCCCTACTTTATAAATCACCATTACTGTGGAACCGGTGGGCGGTTAGAGAAAATTTTACTACTAACAGAGATACAAAAGTGGGCAGTAGGTATAAAAAGGTTGACTAGTCCTGCTATAGAGTATCTAGTACCCTCCTCGAAATCCTGTTACAAACTTCACAGTCATGCCCATTACTGCTTTTCTCAGAAATATTTAGGTCAGGGATTTCCAGTCTATGAGGTGTACTTCCTTTGAGGAGATGCCGACAGAGTCTAGGGCAGATATGAAGAACCTTTTAGTTGTACATTGTAAGAAAAACAAAAAACAAACCCACCCACCCCTCTTTCTCAGAATAGTAGTTTCAATTGAATAACACGATGGTGAAGAAAGCACATACTCCGGTCATATAATGAAAAGTAATCCTTTTCTTTACATGCTCAGAGTCTTAATCCAGGCCTTAGAAAACAGGTTCCAGAACCTTGATTTAAATCTACGAGGAATTGCTACGTGTGATGTGATGATGTACCAAATAGTAATCTCTGATGCTGAGCCCCAGAACGAATCCCCAGTCCCAGGGCAGCCAGAAACTCAACAGGAGCAAGTCGCCTTACTAACCGCGCAGTTACTTAAAACCCCAGAAACCCCCGGGAGAGAAAGCTCGGGGAGCGGCTGCGAGCAGAAAGCGCTCTTCCTCTCCAGCCTCGGCGGAGACAGATTGGGATAGCGCGGCCTCCACCCAGCCTTTGGCTGCCGCCCTGGGCCTTCCCGTCGGCTCCGGCGGATGCGAGTGGTTGTCCAGGGGCGGGGAAGAGGCGGCGGCCGAGCCTGGGATGGCGGGAGCGCGCCAGCTGCACAACATCTGCGGAGCCGGAAAGAACTTCCAGGGCGTCCCAGCTCGGGCAGGACGGGGGCTGATTCAACCCAGGTGAGGTCGTGGGATTTTCCTGGGCTGAGAGGGGAACCAGGTTGGCAGCGGTCGCGCCCTTGCCTCGCTTCCCCTTCCCCTGAGCCACGCCCAGGAGTGCGTGGGAAACAAAATCGCCTCCTGGCCCGGCGACCCCGCTGCCTTCCCGGACCCTCTGCTAACGCCTCCCGTGGGCGCAGCGCCGCCTCTGTTTCTCCTGGTGGGGCTGTGTGAACAGCTGCAAGCGAAATCCCTTTCTTCGTAGTTAACGGAGGCTAGAGGAAAACCTTAGAGAACTTTGCTTTGCCTCGGAAAACTTTCCGTCGTTCTCCTCCGAGGACTCCTCCGCCTGACACCAACTACAACCTTGTCTGCTGCGAACCACAGGAGACAGACAGGATGTTGGAGGCAAAATAGACAAGGCTGACTTCTTTTCTTGCGGGTCTCTTAACAGTTACTGTGGCTTCAGGCAGCCAGGACCCAGAGGTTGCCGCTGGAAGTGTTCCACCTGTTGGATTGCAGCATTTACAAGATTTTAAAAGAGTATTTTATAGGATCCTGGCAGAGATCAAGGGACGACCTTAGGAAAGGAAATGTTTTGTACATCCCAACAAAACAATCATTGTATTCTGCACCTATTCATCCAGGAATAAGTCCGTTGTAGCGATTCCTATGCCTCCCCCGTTCCCTTTTATGAGAAAATGATCATGAGTAATTGGTACCAGGGAATGCATGTGAACCATAAGGAGAGCCGCTTTCATGCCAGGTAGTTGAAAGCTTAAAGAGCGAGAAGCTTTCTTTAACACCTTCTTCCTCCTCTTTCTTCTCCCCTCTTCCTCTTATATGGTTCAGGGATCATATTATTCCCCCCCCACCCCCAGATCAGAATTAATTTATGCATTTATGCCTTTCTGAATTCAGTGCAGCCAACTCATAAAAATCAAGATGTATGAAAAACTGGCTTGGACGAATTTGTTCATTCTAATAACTGAACCTTTCGATCTTTTTCTGACTTAAATTGGCAATAAGAATAAAAACAATTGGCTAAGGACATAATAAGAATTGTAAGACAGACAATTAGCTTTACTACCATTCAGAGGGGAATCAAGAATTAAAGATATTCCGCAAAGTATTTTTGCTATCTGTATCTTTTCTTCTCTAAAGCTGACTGTAAAACTTGGAGAGAGCTGTGATTTAAATGGGGGAAGTAGCACACTAGAAGGAACTAAAATCCTTTCCCCTATCTATCCACTTCCGTTGTCTTCATAACAGTCATGAAACTATTTGTTTAAGGAAAAAGAAAATGCAAGATATGAGTCATGGATCTTATTAATCAACTTTCATCTTGGGTCAAGCTAAATAAGTCAGCTGGCCTTGAGGAAAATATACAGATACCATTTCAGATGTAGCCTATGTACTTTTAGGATCTGGCATATAATTATATCTCTTCTGTCATGTCAATAATATTTATCTGGAACACAGGGACAAATTCTGGCCTTCGAACAAAAATATGCCCATTAAAAACTGTTTAAATGGTATAATACAGTTTGAATCTATCCTTTACTTGGAAAGACATTTGACCTGAATGTGAAAGTACACAATGCAGTTGACTAGGACCTTGATCTTGCAGAGGCCAGCTCTACTGATCATGTTAAATTCCTTGGTGAGGTAATCAAGAATGGATTTATATTGTCCTTTGCTTTTTTAAAATAAGGAGTTCTTGTATTTGTTTTAGATGCTAAATATGTGCTAATTGATTGCCTTGATGAGATCGTTTTTTTCCTATTGTCTAGTAGTTGTAAGGGATAAAAATTAAATTACAAAGCAGTATCACAAATGAAGGCAAATATATGTGTCCCAGGATAATGTTGCAGTCATCGGAACCAGAGGTTTAGTCTTCTGAGCTTTTGGTTTCATGCTGGAGTCCAAAATTTCAGGGAACTTCTCTCACATGTGAGCATGAGTCCAAAAGCTCGGAAAACTAAACCTCTGGTCCTGGTGATTGACACAGATTGGATCCTGCTACAAAGCAGTATGTTTATCACAAAAAATAGAACAGGATTTTTCATCAGTTTTGAATAGAATTTTCTGAAAGGGGTTGCTGTAAAATAGTGCTGGTTTTTCTGTTCCTGATAGATATATTCTTTTTTTTTTTTAATTTTAGACTCAGACCATAGAATAAAAATTGGAAGGGCCCATTGTAAGCCATAAAATTTGGTTCCCTATTTCCATTTGAACGTGTTTCAGTGAAAGAGACCCACAACCTTTCTGAATAATCAATCTACTTTTACTGCCACAAAGTTCTTTTTTCCAACATTCAATAAGAATCTGCCTTTCTTTAACTTAAATCAGTGTTGGGATTCAAACATTTTTATTACCGGTTCTGTGGGCGTGGCTTTGTGGGCATGGTGTGGCTTGGTGGGCGTGGCAGGGGAAGGATATTGTAAAATCCCCATTCCCTCCCCACCACACTAGCCTGCTTTCCAGCTCCGTTCTCCTGTGCAGGACAACAGAAGAAGACCCAGCCGATCAGCTGGGACTCAGGAGGCAGAGAATAGATGGGATGGGGCTAGTCAGAGGTGGTTCTCTGAACTACTCAAAATTTCCACTACCGGTTCTCCAGAACTGGTCAAAACCTGCTGAACACCACCTCTGATTTAAATCCATCATTGTCGTATGTTTCTGTACTGTGGAATAATGGAGGACAGGCCCTTGACCCATTGTGGATAAACTAGGAACTCTTTCTGATCTTTTGTAGATGATTGTCTCCATCTACAGTACTGTCTGTTGATCAGCAAAAATCATGAGAATAGGTTGTTTTTTCTTCTTATCTCTCCCTCTGTCTCAAAAAAAAAAAAAAGGTACAATAGTTTCAGTGTTGAAATACAGCTTTATTGACTGAGTGGCTATCTTACTTTTCAGTTAGCGACAAACCTTGTAAACATTCTAGAATTTCGATATGATGGATACAAATTCCAAACATTAGATATGAATTATTTCCTCGTAGAAGACATACATCCCTTGCCTTAAGCTAGCAAGGAAGAGATTTTTTTCCCTCTTTTCTACCTACAGTCTATTTTGACTCAGTGGGCTTCCTCCATTGGATAAAACTGGGCCAAACACCCTACAAAATTAGATTGAGGACTACAGATTATTTCTGTTGGTAGTATTGTCTCAATCCAACAGAGGGCATTCTAACCTTAGATTTACACTCAATTCTGCAGTTTTAATCCTTAGATTAAAATTTCTTCTTTTATGGATCCTGAACATTTATTTAGTGTATCTCAGTGCAGGAAGCAGAAATAACCATATGTGATGCTAATTTGGAAAACATAATTATATTTTTATTAAAAAGAACCCCTTTGACAGAGCTATCACAAATTGTAGCCAATATCTTTTGAAAATGTCCTGAAACATTTGAGTTTTTATATCTTCCTGTTTGGGTAGTCATGCGAACTATGCTTATGGAGTGAAGAATTCTTCAAAGAGTGGAGTCTGTACAGCTCATTTTAAGCTTCTTTTCTGTGCTGTTCTTTCAGTTTCATTCATAGTTCCCTCAAGAGTCAAAAGGCTTTCATTTTGATGATAATGCCTACACTGTTCCTCTGGAATTAAAAAGTCTCTGTCAATAGGGTCCTTTGTATCGTCAGTGGAAAATGTGCCAAAAAGTCTCTAAGTCAGACAGATACTTTATGAAATCTCCATCATCTTATCTGATTAATAATTTAGTTTGTTTGGATAGTTTCACAACAAAATATCACTTGGTTGAATAGTCATATTCCAATGAGCAATTAACAGTCTGATCTACTTCATTCTAAGGTAGAAGTTAATTCTATCATATTTAGTAAATATTTGTTCCCAAATAAGTTTGTATAAGACTGAAACTGAGAAAATAGAGTGTTCTAGAACAGGCTTTTATTGTACATTAAATGTGCAAGTTGGAGGTGGTGATCGACATCATTTTCTGTGGGACCTGTATTTTCTCACTTCTATATGTCATCTTACAAGCAGGAATTCTTTATGGTTGGGAAGAAGTAACAGAACCATTTTTTAAACTTTCAGTGCTAGGTGTTCTTTTTAAGCAACATACCTTTTTCATATGAGGTATTTACATGAAGCTAAAAAATATATATGTTTCTTACCAACAGGAGAATCTATGATTATTATGTTTTTATTCTATTTAAAAAACCTTCTTTTTCCATTTGTATATTAAACATGTATTCCAGACCTTCAGCAGCCAACAGCAAAAAAACAGAACACTTTGAACTATTCTTAGAATTTAAAATAAAAAAACAGAAATCTAGAAAGAGCAGCATATTACAACTATACTAAAATATGTAAGATATTCAAAAGCAGATTAAAAACCTACATGTGAAAAATTAAATGCATTATAAAAAGAAAATGCTTTACTGAGGATTTTGGTTTAGCTTCTGGAAGGCCATTTATGATAAAATAACCCAGGCAAAATGTGAATATTCTCTCCAGACGAAGGCTGTAAAATTATCTGTGCTGATTTCAGAGTTCATCTTATCAACCTAGATGAGTGGTGGCTAACCTTTTTGGGCTCCTGTGCCAAAAATTGCGCATGCACCAGCCCGCACGCACTTGCATGCCAGCACCCAGAATGCAATGTGTGCCCCCCTCCCCATGCCCCCTGTGCATGCACGTGCAATTCCCCCCCGCCACCCCCTTACCTGCACTGCGCTTCACAGGTGATTTTTTGGCTTGGTTTGAGGCCTTTTTGGCCTCCCAGAGGCAAGGCTTTTCAGGACGAATTATAGGCCTCTTTCATCATTTCCTGTAATACCGGAAGTGTTACTTCCTGTAATACTGGAAGTGACAAAATGGTCCTATAATGTGTCCTGAAAAGCCTTGCAGAGGCTTTTTCCAAGCCTCTGGGAGGCTGAAAAAGGCCTCAAACCAGCCAAAAAAACAGCTGTGAGGCACACGCATGTGCAGTGAGGTAAGTTTGCCTGCGGCTCGCGTGCCAGAATAAATGGCTCTGCATGCAACTTGTGCAC